AAAACCTGGCTTGTTTCACTCAGTGTCGTTATTGTGAGCGGTTTGTGTTCATGCCTGTGGCCGTTCAGCGGCACATACGCTGCTGCATAGATATTCCACAGCCTGTTCGCAGGCCTGTGGGCCCCTTCTGGATTTTTTCCAGAGTTGCGGAGAGCCGCTGTGGATAGGTACACACAGGCCTTAGTGTGGATAGAGACCTTACTGTCTCATCAGGAAACACCCAGCATGTCCCATTGTCTTTTTACATGCCTCGTAAAAATGTCAGCGTCTTAAAGATGAAGCCAAATGGAGTGTAGGTTGGGGTAGTGAAGAGCTATGATAAGTAACTGCTACACGTGCCCCTGGGTTAGACACTGCATGGGGAAAAGAACTGTTTGCTTTCTTGTTAAACAAAGCACCTAGTGAGACAACCAGGACTGCTGGAATGTGAACTATAGGTAGCTCTGAAGTAGCAGATCGATGTTAAGCTTCCTGAGTGTAACTGTTCGAAGGTGGTCACGGAAGAGACCAGCCCTACTCTGGGAAACACGCTGAGCTTTTTAGGAAACAGGATTGTTGGGCTACAACCTGCTGTCATATAGCTCAGAAACAATAAAGGTGAAAGACAGCACACTTGTGACACAGTGTTACAAATGGATGATTCTGCATCTCACACACACACACACACACACACACACACACACACACACGAGCCCATTGTGCTATTCCTGCAAACTTCTCTGAGTGTGAAAATATTTTAAAACAAAAGATTTTTTGAAATCACCCACAAAAGGCCCTGCTTGGCAGTCCTGATGAAGACGCCCATGCACTAGTGTGGAAAAGACTCCGTTACAGACGGATTAACGAAAACAAATTGCAGGGTGACCTTAGTTTTACTCAAAACAAAAATCTTCTTTCCTAAAAGGTCTGGAAAGATATACATCAAAACGTTAATTTTGATGTAATTATTTCTGAGTTGCGGAATAAAGAGTAATTTGCGTGGCCTTTTAATCTGTGTTTTCTACTTTGCAGTGTGCATGGGGTGATTATGTAACAGAATTATTTTACATCAGGACCTCTGCACTGAAGACCTGCCTTGCCCTGCCTCCCTCCCCGCCCCGCCAAACTCCCCACACCACACTCTGGGGGCTGAAGGAAATAAAGGAAAACGCTCCCCAGGCTCCGTCTTCTGTCTTCCCTGCTCTCCCCTTCTCTAGATAGGACGCTTGTCATTCCTGGCACATCTGGTCTTCTCAGTCGTTCTCTGCACATTTCAAGTACTTCCTGCCACGTAGTGATTGAAATTAGGGCTTTAAACTGCTGCCCCTCCCACTGTCCTGGACATGTCCCTGACCAGTGGTCCTGTGGGCCTCGAGGACGTCCCCGGGAGCTCTGCCTGCGGGGGTACCCCAACCCCAACTCGGCTCGACTCGGTTCCCACAGTTTCCAGCAGGCCCGGGAGCACTCTCCGACCCTTGAGCAGCTTCACTGTGAGAGCCCTGGCCAGAGACTTTCTCTAAACTCTCTCCCCAGGCGCAGCACCAGCCACGGGCAAAGCCCACAGCTGTGTCTCCTGCAGGTGTGGGTCGGGGCTCCTGTCCAGCCTGCCTCTATCTCACTGCTACCTCTAGCGGCTGATTCTGCTGGGTGATCCTGTAAATGCCAGCACTACCCGCTACCTCTATGGCAGTGTTTCCCGCTGAGAAGAAGGTCACGGTCCTCCTGCTTTTATGAAAAGTGTTTTAACGGATCCGTTCCCACCCTTCGTCTTTTGGCCTTGGGGTTCTCATCAGACCCCTGCTCTCAGTTTCTGAATGCAGACGTGGACGTTCGGCTTGTTCTGCATGGCGCCTCTTGAGGAATGTTGGTCTTCTTGCTGCTTTGACACTGACTTTCCGGGATCAACTTTTCGTGAGAACCTTGTTGCAGGAAGGTGCTTGTCTCTGACAGCAGAAGAGGATTGTGTTCGTTTTGTTTCCATCCATCTGGGGACCTGACGCTTGCACGCTGGCTGGAGTTGCCCTGGGGGTCTGCAGCACCCCTGCTGGCTGGGGGCTTCCCCAGTGGGAGCTCACAGTGGTCTCTCGGGGGAGAGGTGCACGCCTCGCTCTTCTACCTGCCCTCTTTGGAGGAGGCTGCCCAGGGCCTGGAAGAGGCTTAGGGCTATTTAGGGGTGGAGCCCTGGGTCCTGGGGTGACATGGAGCCTGGCCGGAAGAGGTGGCCCTGACCGCAAGTCAGCAAAGCTCTTGGACCCTGGACCGGTGGGCTCCACAGAGAGGCGCAGAGGGGAGGAAGAGTGGAAAGGGTCTCTAGATCCCAAGCGCCCAGGGAGGAGAGAGTGAGGCTGATAGAAGTGCCCGGTCGTTCAGTCAGTCACGGTCACCTCGTTGACGAGCTGTGTGGCTGCCCCCGGCCCCTGGCTCAAGACATGGTGAAGGGCTCCCTAAGACCCCAGGTGCTCTCCCAGTGTGGCTCGGGCGGATGTGGCGAACTGCTGCTGCTGATTCACGTGTCACTGCTGTGGGGGACAACTGCCCGGACCACAGGTGATGTCACAAAAGCGAAAACTAAGTCTCTGCTGCTTTGAACCCGAGGTGCGGGCTGTTTCTTACTGCAGCGGAACCCGGCTTATCCTCGCTAGTCAGGGCCAGCCTTGCAGGGGTCGGTGCTGTGCTTCTGTCCAGCAGCCAGGCCCCACTGCCTATGTTACAGGAAAAGAGTTACAGCGCGTCGGGTGTGTGGGTGGGCTGCTTCCTGGCCAGGCCGGGCCTCCAGAAACAGCCCCAGTTCACAGAAATCTCCAAGTGCAAGCCACGATGACCGTACCCTCCAGTCCTCGGCTTTCTAGGGCCTCAGCATCAGCCAAAGCAGTGACTACTACGGTGCCCTCTGGGTTTTAATGGGAATTCCAGCCCTATAAACTCTTTTTAAGACTGCAGAGAAAGCCAAGATTTTATTAGGAAGGTGGCAAAGTAAACCCAGAGACTGGGGAAGCCAGCAGCAGCCACTCACCGCTTCCCGAGCTGCGCCGAACCCGGCCACCCTGCATCTGTTTCCGGGGTGACTCTGCTTTGCTAACAAGGGAGCAACAGCCCAAGCAGGTGAAGGGCTCCTCAGGTGTCGCTGCTGTTCTAACCGCGTCTCCATTACACTGGCGTTCATCCGGAAAGCTGCCCTGCGAGGCGAGCGTAGGACATGTGAGCCCACGCCTCGCCTAGACAGAACCTGGCCCCCGGCAGTGGACGCTCTCCGTCATGTTAAGCGCTGGATAATGCCTTGTGACGTGACAGTATTTCCCATTACAGATCAATTTTGTAGCATTCGTTCGTAATCAGACTTGAAATGTTACCTAGAAACAAAATATGTTTTCCTTGCAACAGTCAGACCTTATTAGAAATCCGAGGTTTTACAAATCACCAAGTTAGCAGTTCTATCCCCTGGCTAAGGTTTTCTTTCTTTAAATAGTGTTAAATTCAGCCCCAGAAGCTCACGTCTCTTTGTGGATCGCTCTCTTTATGTGCACTGACTTGGAAGGAAAATCCTAATGCTCCAAATACATGGAGGGTCCCACTACGTACAGCTTCTCTTTTGCAGGGTAAAACAATGTCGGAACCTTATTAAAGTGTTACACTTGCAATTAGGCTACACGATATTATTTTCACACTTTCTTAAAGGTAGAATTTCATTGCTTAAAAAATAACTTCTATGTCTAGGTAAGGTAAGAAGAATTATTCTCATTTCCTGACCCCATAATCACATGCTGTGGGTGGGCAAAGGAATAAAGAGAAAACACAAGCAGCAGAGCTCAGAGCAGAGATCTGGAACTTCCTGCCAGGTCCCAAAGGTCTGCGGGGCCCGCACCCCTGCTTGGGGTCTGCCCCTGACATTTCATCGTGGGAGAACCTTGGGCACACTGCTCAACTTTCCACCCTGTTTAAGTCTTTATAGGATGATATTTCCTGACGGATAGTCCCTTTCATTACCGCCCCCACCCGCCCCTCCTGTGTCCGGCAGACGATGAGGGAGCATTAACTTGGGTCCAGCCGCCCTGGGCCAGGTCTTGGGAAACAGCAATGGGCAAGATGAGCAGAGGGCTCTGTCCCCACGGCCCTGGGCCCCAGCCCTGGGAGGAGCAGGGGACCGACAGGGCATCAGGCGGCTTGATGGGAAACATGGGGCCCCTCCCGAGATACACCACCTCCAAACCCTGGGACCCGAGGGTGTGAGGCCCGGAAGAGGACTTGCAGATGTGTTCCCGATCTCAGTAAGCCCCCTCCCGGATCCTGCCGACGGGCCATGGACCAGTGAGAGTCCGGTGAGACACGCGAGGGGCCTCCGGGAAGAGACCAAGTCCACACGAGGTCAGGCAGAGACAGAGGCGACCACTCCGCAGGCTGGAGGGCACGCAGAAGGTTCTCCCAGGGCCTTGGGTGGGAGCACGGCCCCGCGGACTGCGGTGTTAGACTCCGGCCTCGGGAAGCACGGTCGTTTCTGTCCCTGCCAGCCACTTTGTGGGATCTAGATGGGCACAGGAGGCACACAGAAACGGTCATGCCAGGAAGAGAGCAGAAGACACAAAAAAGGACGCGGGGGAGGCCTGAGCGGGCTCTGGTGGGCCCCGGAGGAGCCAGCGGGGGCAAGGATGTGGGGCGGTGGGTGGACCAGAAAGTCAGCGGAGCCGGACTGAGGGAAAGGAAGAAGGTACGAAGGCGCTGCTGCTGAGGAAGCGGGATCGGGGCCCAGGGGCCGCAGAGGTGGGGGGATCCGGACGCTGCAAGGGAAGCCCGTCCGGGAGAGCCGGGCCCGCGCATGCGCAGCGCACGGAGAAAGGACACTAAGCGCATACGTGCCAGATCGGTAACTATGGTTCTACCCTGGACGTCCAAGTGACGGGATCTAAAATACCCTGGAATGTTCATACTTCTTACGGATTCCCCACCCCACCCCGCCTCCGTGCTGGATACGTGGGCAATGAGGTTGCAAAGCCGGCCTTGGGCGACACACCACAGGACACTGGGCGTCCTCACGCAGGTCCTTTATTTCCTTCCCTCCCTGCTCACAAGGTGCGATTCAGCCTGTACCACGGTTTCCTCCAGTCCCAACAATGGCTCAAGCATCGCTGTGTCCTAATTCCTTGCCGAGAGCCACCCTGGCAGGTCCCAGGTTCTCGGATTCACAAACTCCACGGCCTCACTGGCATCCAGGATCGTTCGGAAAGTGGATCGTTTGTAGACACGATTTCAAAGATCAGACCTGCCCGGTTCCCAGGTCAAGAAAATGTTTTCAAGCACATGGAAAGTGTTTACCATTGTCCTACAGCTCTTCCGGGCATGACCTTCTTTTATTGCTTTAACCACCTGTAAAATTCCTCTTTCGTTCACATTATCTTTCATGATTGCTTCTTATTATAAAAACAAAAAACGAAGATGTGGGTCGATTGGGTACATTAGCAGGTCCACACAGGAAAACGCACTGCAGTTTCACAGGTGACTCACAGTCTCAGATCGGAGGACAAAGTCGAAAAGGAAGAATCAGAACCTTGCTCCAAGGTGAGCCTACCTGGGATGACACTGCTTTGGGCCTCAGAATTTCCCTGGTCCGCTGCTTAGCAACGGCAAACAGAAAAAGCCTGAGCGATCCCAGCCACAGCATCCGCTAACTGCTGTGCAGAGCCAGCCAGCTCCTGGAGCACTGGGCTTCTCCAAGGTCTACTCCCCTTGCATTTAAACTTAGTAAGAAGAAAAAAACCTGAAAAACTCATGCTGTAGCCAGGGATCCCCATAACCAGTGGCCATCTGCCAGGATTTTCATGTTTTGAGTCTTACTGAAAAAAACAGTGCTGCCCACTTTCCAGTAAGTACTGAGGGAGAAACATCTTTTACCCTGACCTGTGGCATAAACTCGCTCTGCTGGGGACACTGCTGCCGTAAGCCAGACCACAGCAGCAGCCACCCAGGATGGGGGAGGCCACGGCGAGCCTCAGGGCTCGAGCCTCAGAGCTCGTCGTGGCTCTTCGTGAGGTCCTCGCCGTAGCTGGTGGCCTGGCTCCCCACGAACATGCTCCAGTTGTCCAGGATTTCCTCCTTGGTGAGCTTCTCGTCCTTCGGGAGAGGGAAGAGGCGGTCAGGGGCACCTGAACCTCACCCTTGGCTGCTATTCCTTTTTTTTTTTTTTTTTTTTGGTTTTTCTCCGGTACCAGGAACCAAACTCACGACCTTGCGCTTGCCAGGCAGGCGCTTTTGCCGCTGAGCTAAATCCCAAGCCCCTGGCTGCTATTCCTAATACCACGTCCCAACACTCAGCAACCCGCCTCCTCCTCTGCCTGCCGGCTGCGCTTGGAGCCCCGCCCTGGGTGAGCGGCTTGCAGGGCCTGGCAACCCGGAAGCTACGATCCCCGTGTGACCTCCAGCAGTGCAGACACCTGCAACGGGCCCTTGGAAGTCTCCCCATGGCTATCGCGCCAGCTGCCCGTCTGCTGACCTGGGGAGTCGGGCTATGACCCAGGTGGGAGAGGGCAGGACGCGTTCCTCAGGCGTGTTTACTTAATTGAGGATTTTCCCTTCTCTTTCCGGGGGCCGGGGGGCCGCCAGGTCACGCTGAGTAAGCACTCTCTCCAGAGCTCTGCCATAGCCCTGCTGGCTTGAGTTTCACGAACAGAGCCTGTGTGAGGCCGCCGGGGATGGGCAGGGTCTGCCTGGCTCAAAGTTGAGGGGACACCTGCAAGCCTTGATGGGTGGACACACAGGCTTCTTAAACCCATGCCTGCCCGGCCTGCTGCCCGGCGGGGTGGCTGAGCGAGTCTGTGGCCCCAAGGGTGCCCCTGGGCTTGACTCAGGCTGTGGCCCTCACTGTGCAGCAGGGACATGGCCCGGGCCCTGTGGTCGCCAAGGACGCCACCAACCCCAACCCTGCGCCTATACTGCGGAGCCCAGGGCTACCTTGTTCTTGTCAGACTCATACACCAGGTGCCGGGCCTCGGCCTGCGCGTGGTCATAATCCTGGGGGAGGATCCAGTGGCGGATCTCGTCCCTGTCCAGCTTCCCGTCCTTGTTCAGGTCCCGGAAGTCACCGAACTGCTCCCGTTCCGACAAGACCCAGTCTGGCTCGGGGCCGCCATCCTCATGGGAAAACATGTCCGCTGCAAGGGAAAGGTGCTCTGGTTATGGAGGGTGACCGGGAGGTGACAGCAAGCAGAGGAGGAGCCCATGTTTCTGGAAAGCAGACAACCAACTGGGAGGTTCTGGGGACAGTAACATCCATCCGTCTGCCGTGAAGGCCTCGGCCGGAGATGGGCTGAGGTGGGGACCCAGCGGACAACTGCTCCATCACGAGGAGGGATGACCTTGAATCACCTGTAGGAAAGTGGACGCACCCTGAGACCACAATGATAAGTGACAGACATCAGACACACAAACTGAAGTATCACATGGCTTCTCTCATCTGAGAAGCCCGAAGTATAAATAATTTAAAAAACAAAATAAAAGGTAGACAATTGGAAACATAGATGGATCTTTTGCCAAAGGGAAGGAGATGAAGAGATGGATGCAGGAGGAGGTAGGGAAGGGGAAAGGATGTAAGAAAACAAGGACAAAAGAAAACTAACAAGAACTAAGACGTGTTATATACATGTGCCAACCCAGGCGTGGTGGTGCACGCCTGTAATCCCTGCACTCAGGAGGCTGAGGCAGGAGGACTGCCGTGAGTTCGAGGCCAGCCTGGGCTAAGTAAGTGAGTTCAAGGCCAGCCACTACATATTGAGACCTTGTCTCAAAAAACAAAACAAAAACAAACAAAAAACACGTGTCACCTCTCTAAGATGAATGTGATTATGTACTGCAAATATAGACTAGGAGAAAAAAGAAAAGAAAAAAGCAGCCGACCCTTGCTCTTGACAATGTGGTGACAGATTAAGTCACTTAGTTCTGGGACAGAGCCTCAGATTTGTCCAAAATGCAGGTAATAACTGCTACATCACTGTGAAGATCGTGGGCTGTTTCTGTGGAAGCCTCTCCAACCCAACTGGCAGCGTCAGGTGAAAACTGATAACAATCACCACTGTGAGAGCCTTCTATGGGGCAGGGAAGATACAGTCCTCCACGTTCCTCTTCCCACATGGTTCCCTAACAGCCTTTTGAGACAGGCACTGCCTTTATCCCATTATACAGATGAGAGCGTTGAGGCAGAGCCCCAGCCCCCGAGCTGGCTGATCCTGGGGCTGCCGGGGACTTGGGCACTCTGCTTTCCCACCGTGGCCTTCGCCGCGTGTCTGTTAGCGTGGCTGCTTATGTCGCGTCCTAAGGTGCGCACATCCCGGTTTACTTCCTCCTCACACAGCTCCCCACGACGGCCCCAGCCCCCCTTATACAGCGCAGGGACGGAAAGGGCGCAGGGCCTGCTTCCTCACCTGGTCTGGGAAAGAGCCTGGGAGGCAGCTCAGTGGGAGAGGCCAGGTGGCTAAGAAGGTTTCAAGGTAGAAAATGCACTTTGCAGTAAAGTTTCAATTCGGGCAAAGCTCTTTGCAATTAAGCTTCAATGCAGAAAACGGTGCAACGAAGTCTGAACACAGGGCCAACAGCAGGTGGCAGAAGGAGAGGCGGGGAAGAGCAGGAGACTGCTGGCCTCAGGGCGGCCGGAGGGGAGGCCCCTCCTCCTCACACTGTTTAGGGAACTGGCCTCCCGCTTACTCATTATTTTGAGCTCCGCCCAGTCCTGCCCCAGGCGTTATTTATTCCCATTTTGCAGGTGAGGAGACTGTGGCTCAGAGCGATGCCATGCTCTCCAGGGCCACAGGGCTGTGACCACAGATGCCCGGGTCCTTCCTACAGTGCCCTCAGCTCTGGCTTCCTGCTCTCCCTGCTGGAAGAAGAGGCTGTCCCCCACCCTGAGATGGCCAGAGCCCATTCCCCAGATGGTCACACGCCGGCCTCTGACTGCAGGAGACTCAGACTGCAATCTGTAAACACAAGGACGCTCCTCCCTGCTCCTCCCAGGAAAAGAACAGTCTTTCAGGCAAAGCCCCTGGAGTGGCACCACCCACACCACGGTCACACAGTGCCGGAGGGCCCAACAGCGCATGCGGTCAGCCCCTTCAGTCAGTCTGCCACGCTTCGTGCTGACGCTCCGCCCGCTCCCTGCTGAACTGTGCTGCCGCGTGACCGGTGGCCACCAGCCATTGACAGGTGGTCATGCGAAGCCAGGGTCACCTCGGCCACTTTAGTTACTGCAAGAGACGGGGCCAGGGCTCGGTCCCCACGGCTGAACAGAACCTGAGTGGCCAGCAGAAGCGCCGCTGGTCACCACCGAAGGTGTGTCCGGTGTGCGGCATGGCAAAGTAGCCCAACAGTCCCCCTGAGCAGGGACAGCACCAGCGCTGGGCGCAGGGACACTGCCCAGGACAGCCGAGTGGCCAGCACTCACCGATGTACTCGTCCTGGTCCACAAAGCCGTCCCCGTTCTTGTCGATGTCCTCCAGGGTTTCCTGGGAAGCAGAAGCGCAAGAAGCAAGATAGCCCGGTGCTCGAAGGAGATGCGAGACTCCCGCCGCCCCTGGGTCCAGCTGCTTGTGGCGGGGCGCCTGTGACTTCTGGCTCCTTCCCTCGTTCACCTCTAAAGAAGCAGGCTCTTTCCCTCCCGACTCTCCTTGCCAATGCCGTTAACCCAGAGGCCTGGGGTTCCGTCAGGAAGCTGCCAATGCATCCTCACCACCCCGCCACACACCCCAGGGGGGCCCAGAGGGTCTCCAGGAACCCGGTGTGAGAGCCACAGGACGAGGGGATCACATAAAGAGAGTTTGGGGCTGACTGTATCAGAGAGATGTGAAATTGTTCAAAAACAAAAGTGTAACTGCTGCCTCTGGAATATATTCTGCACTGAAGTTACGTCTCAATGTCTTTTCCTGCCCAAAACACACAGGCATCTCGGGTGTGAAACACAGCCGAGCAAGAGCAGATGCCGCTCTGGAAGGCCCTCGGCCCGCTCAACACAGCTGGGGTGAGGCGGAGGGCATCCTGGAGCCAGCGCCTTAGGGTCCTGATGGTCCGAGCAGAAGTGGGGGAAGGCGAGCAGCCTCCCCCAACCGCCACGGGCTGAGTAACTCAGCCAAGCTGCCCGAGTGAAAGTTTCACCAGCTGTGCCCTGCGCAGAAGCAGCTGGACCGGGATCAGGCCATCCGCCCAAGACACAGGCAACCATGGTAGAAAATGAAGACGAGGGGGTCCCACAGGCAAAGCCGCCCCTCAGAGCGCTCCCAGGACCCATCGCGCGAGGAGCTCCCTTCCCAGCCACGAGCTGCACTTAAGTTTCCATAAGGTTTATCGCCTCGCGTTTTAGAACCTGTTTCTAGCACCCTCACAGCTAAAGGGCAGGCAGGCTGCTGGGTGCTCGGGGCACATTCGTGCCCTTGCACGTGTGCGGGGCTGGGCCTGCAGCCTCCTCACGGACGGCCATGTCTTTTCCAGGCCTCTCCATGCCCTTTCTCTTATCGGCCACCTGGCTGTCACCAGGGTGACCTTGAGCCACAAAGTGGCCCAGCCCACGACGGAGGCTGCCTGGCACCAGAGAGAGTTTGGAGGACAGCTGCCCAGAGGCCCACGGGCCCGACATTCACAGCAGGCTGTGCACAGAAAGCAGCTCTGACTTCCACGCAAGGTGGCGTCAACACCCCGATTCCCTCTCGGCCAAAGCACGAGGCAAGGACGAGGGGCAGCGTTCTCCCCAGGTCCTCCTACCCGGGCTCTCCTCAGTCCTCACCAAGACCACGATTTCCTTCATGTGCTCGAACTCCTCGGGGTGCAGGAAGGCAGTGAACTCCTCGCGGGTGGCTGTGAGGTCCCCGTCCAGGTCCGCGGCCTTGAACCTCCTCTCGTCCCGGGGCAGCATCTTCTTGAAAGTGAGGTGGTCGGGGCTGTCCTGGAGCTCTTCGGGGTTCCCTGCCGCGAGGGGGTGCAGGGAGGCTTAGCCTGCAGCTGAGCACCCCATCCCACCCCGCACCCCCAGCTCACTGATTCCAGGCCCAATGCGGCAATTGGATGAAAAGCCCTGACGCATGCACCAGTCCTTCAGGACAGCAATTTCAGGGTGTGCGTGCCTCTGTCCCCTCCACGTCACCCCACCAGGCTGCAGTGGCTCATGGGGATGCAGACTGCAAGCGGTTAAAGGCCCCGGCTTCAGACCCCACAGTTGCTATTGTGCTTGTGTGCACATACACGTGCTTGTGTGTGACACGTGTGTGCAGGCCTCAGCTTCCACTTTACCACTCTCCGCTCCAGAACACACACAGGCTCCCTGGCTACCAGAGGTCACATCTCCACCACAGATCTGCCCTGGTATCCCCTGTCCTCCTTAGGCCTGTGCCCTCTCTCCCAGGCACCCCGCAGGCTTGTGCCTCAGGCCGCTGCCCCACCCCAACCTGCCCAGCTTTCAGGGCACTGCCGCCCCAGCACTCCCCACCAGCAGCTTTCTGCGATACAAACGCATCCTCGAGCTCCCGAGCCACCCTCCACCAGGAAGCACTCTGACTGCACTGGGACTCGGTCTTTGCCACACAAGTGCCACAGTGGAGGGACAAGGTGCCACACACGGACCTCCTCCGTGTTCTTCCCTGGGTGCCCTCTGAGCGCACGCTCAAGTAGGGCTGTGACCTAAGGCACTTACCAGCCCCTGGCTCCTTCCCCCGCCACCGCTTCACTCCAAGAAGCAACTCCCTAACCTCCTTACTTAGCAGAGGGGGTGCCGGGCACGCGCTCTGTGAGAGGGTGGTGATGTCTCCCAGGGGCGCCCTCAGTGCCCTTACCCAGGAAGTAGCCGTAGGTGGCTTGTTTGTACTCTTCCCAAGAGATCTTGCCGTCCTTGTCTCTGTCGTAGTCCTTCCAGACCTTGGCGACATTATCATAGATGTATCTCTTCTGCACCCGTTTGATCCAGACTTTCAACTCCTCGGTGGTGATGAAGCCATCCTGGTCACTGTCGATTCGGTCAATGATTTTCCTGTGGAGGACGAGAAACCCCAAAGGCCATTGTCAAGGCCGTGGGACTTTAGTCCAGCACAGCATAGAACAGTCACACACCCAAAACGAGCAAGCTGCAAAGTAGAACCCAGGCCGTGACTGTGCAGGAGGGGACCTGGAAGTTTATCCAGTCCTGGACAACGCACTCTGCCCCACACCCCACAGGCACCCGTGGCAGACACTGCTAATGGATCATGGCCTTTCACGGTGCTCAGGAGTCAGACAGCACCAATGGATCCTAGTGACCTGCCTGAAAGATGAAGCCCAAGTCTTCTCTGACATAATCCAACTACTTGCATTATTATTACTGCTGTCATTTTTATTTTGGTTTCTAGAGACAGGATTTCACTATTTAGTTCAACCTGGCCTTGAATCACTATATAGCCCAAGCTGGCCTGGCACTTGCGGTGATCCTCCTGCCTCAGCCTCTGGAGTGCCAGTCTGACTTTCCTAACAAGTTCTGGGGCCCACATACAGGATGGAACCCAGTCTCCATCTCTTGGGGCACCCTGCTCTGCCTTGATCTCCCTTCTTCTCTTCATGTCTTCCTCTCTGCCCCCGGACCCCACACTGCCCACCCAAACAGAGCTCCAACGGTCTGTGAGCGGCTGCTCCGTCTTCAGAAAGCTGGCGTCTTCTGCGTGGTGCCCAAGCTCAGATCTAGGGACACCCCAGCCTGCTCTCTGACCTGGGGCCTCGGGGCTCCCTCTGGTTGTGCTGGCCATGCTGACCCCAAGCCACCTTCACTGCAGGCCTCCTGCCCCCACCTCCCCTGAAGCTCCCAGGCCCGAGTGCAGGGTCCAAGCTGGTGCCAGCACACAGGCCCTTCTGGGGAACGGGGCTCTACTCAGACACCAAGCCTGGCAGGCAGTCAGCACCCTGTTGTCATGACACCGGCATCTGAGGAAGCCCCAGGACCAAAGCCAGAGGCCCTGCTCCCATGACACTGGGCATGGCCTGGCAGAGGTAAATCAGGCTCCCAGGTCGGCAGATGGGTTATCAATGGCCCCGTTGTTGAGTCCCAAAGACAGGAGAAAGAGCTTGGCCCAACAAAAGTTGCCTGTGTGAAGTGACTCTGCAGTCCAGTCTTTTACCACAGCAGGTAGGCGGTGCCCTCCACGGAGTCATTCACCTCCCACTCTCAGAGCACGGCGCCCCTGGGTGGCCTAAGAGTGGGAGGCTGTGTCCTTTTTTACTGCAGCAGGACAGGAAGGGACAGGAAGACCTTCCGCCCCGGGCCGGGCTCTGGAAGCCTGGTTGGTGCCAGCAGCGGGCACAGGTCCTGCTGTAGGGTGGCCTGGGTCACTCACTCAGTGTCCTGTCATCTCAGGGGACGGCATGGGGGGACCCAAATGCTGCTGCCCAGGTTTGGCTCCAGACCCCACAGCTGAGCTCCTCGTCCACCCCCGCACTCTGTGGCCTGGGCATCTACTGCGGACAGAACCCAGAGGGCTCCCGGTGGGTGCACCCCGCCCTGCCAGCCCCAGCCCTCCCTTCCGCTGAGACTTCCCATCCCTGCCCGCTGGGCACAGGACACCCCACCTTGGCCAGCCTTTCTCTCCCCCTTGTGTTTCTGTCCCTGAGACCCCGCAAAAGTGTCCCAAACTCTGAGTCTTCGGGGTGCAAGAGAAGTCGCAGGCGGGCAGGAACTCGTGTCATCCAAGGGCACAGGGACCCCTGCCCCGTCCCTGCCCCATGCAGCGGCCCCTCCCGCGCCCCCACTTCGGGTCTGCATCCCAGGGACCCACCCCAGGGTCGCGCCCAGGCACCCACCCCGCCCCCACCCCGGCCGGCCCGCGGCGCCCCGCGCCCCTCACCCCAGCCGGGCCCTGCTCTCCTCCGGGGTGAGCTGGTCGAAGCCGCGCGCCTCCTCGCGGCCCAGGAAGGCCTCGTGGTCGTACTGGAAGCTGCCGTTGTCCTCGGGCGCCCGCGCGCCCAGCTCGGAGTCGGGGCGCAGCACGCGCTCCTTGCGCACCGTGGGCTTGGCCCGCGACGGCGACGGCCACAGCGCCAGC